GAGAGAGAGAGAGAGAGAGAGAGAGAGAGAGAGAGAATTGATCATGTTTGGGGGTAGGGCTTGGGGAAACGCAGAAGGCGACGGGGATGGTAAGAAATCAAAAATGAAAAGCGACAAGGAACAAGTGTGGGTGCTCTCTCTCTCTCTAACTCAGTCTGAGAGAGGAAGTGAGTGAAAACGGTTTGGGGGAGTCAGAGGCAGAAACGTGGCGAAAGGAATGAATCGTGAAAAGATACCGAAGACACCGATTGGCGCTCGACAGAGAGAAATCGACGAGGTTTGGGGGTGGGAACAGCAATTGTGGTAGGCGACGGGGTTGGCTGGAAATGAAAATGAAGGCGACGGAGTTGGTAGAAAATGAAGAACGAAAAGAGGCATGGGTGCTCTCTCTCTTTCTCACACACACTCATTCTTCGAGAGAGGGAGTGCGTGAAAAGGGTATGGAGTAGCTAAGAACGTGGGCGGCGGTAGGGCTGGTTGGAGATGGAATGAACAGTGAAAACAGACCAGAGACATCGGTGGGTGCTCGACCGAGAACGAAATTGATAACGTTTGGGGAAGGGGAAAACAACATGTGAGCTACTGTATGGCGAGGATGGCAAGGAGTGGCAAAGTGAAAAAGTTAACGGGTGGACATGCCCTTTTATCTTCCAAACACGGACGGAGCCCCTGCACTGACAGGTCTTGGGTCTTGGGTCGTGCAGGTGCGTACACAATTCACACATGCATCATGACCCGAACCCGATCTGTGCGGGCGGTCCGACGATAAAATCGCGCGAAGACGCAAAAAATTATGTAGGTCGTGTGTGACGTGAGCACAAGTATGGGCATCCCCAATCAGCCAACAACCAAGCAGGTGAAAAACATGTTGGGCAAATACTCTTTCAGAAAGCCGAGCTGATCTGGTCGCGGCACCAACAGTACTAGTACAACCCGCTCTTCGCCGAATGAGTCACTTCGCGGGACGATCGATGTCCCGTACTCCCCGTATTTCTCAGAATCTCTCCGTTCTCCCACTACAACACATACCCTCCCGTTTTCGTCTCTTGCTCTTCCCTCCTTTGCCTCGCTGCGACCAAGCTCATAACGGCGCAACATCATGACAGGTACATCTTTGCCTAACTACCGTCAAATCTCCATGTCCGTCTGGAACGACTACGCACGTGCTTCCTGCCAGCCTCATTTCTTCCTACAAAGAAGCGGCCGAACGTGAACATGCAAAGAAGCATCAGAGAGCCGGAAGGATCAAGGCCCGCGGTGGGCGACAAGAAGCAACAAGCAAATTGCGTCGTCGTTTTTCGTGCGAATGTTCTTCCTGCACATCAACAAAGATAGTCCCGCGTGGGGGTAGATTCAATCCATTCAAAAAACTATTTATTGTTCCAACACGAAACCCAAAAGAGTTGCATGCGACCAACACACGTTCCACGAAGAATACATCGTTGCCTGACGATCAGAAAAAACACCACAATGATACACGACCAAAACACCCCGGCCCTCTATGCACACCCATACGCCAGGCCCATCTCAGCATCATCCGCCGTGACTAACAAACCTGACGAGGAATTACTTCCTCGGTCACCGTAGCCCCACCCACACCCATTTACCCGAGACGACACAACCAAAGCACGATAAATTACTTCCTCGGCCATCGCGGCTCCACCCACACACATTTACCCGATGATACAACCAAAGCACGAGAAATTGCTTCCTCGGCCATCGCGGCTCCACCCACACCCATTTACCCGAGATGATACAACCAAAGCACGAGAAATTACTTCCTCGGCCATCGCGGCTCCACCCACACCCATTTACCCGCGATGATACAACCGAAGAGGGGAAGAATTTGACAACACATGAGCACACTTGGGGAGAAACGGATCAAAAGAAAGGCCCGAGTACACCCCTCCCCCCCCCCTGCCGCTTTCTAGGTCCCTCGTGCCCCCCGGCAGCCGAGACACAACCGGACCAACCTTTTCCGAACCAAAGCAGGATTGATTCTCTACCATTCGGACAAAGCAAGCGGTGGGCACGACAAGGCAGCAGCCCCGACTCTCTCGCGGCTGAGGCAAACGTCCCCCACCAAAATCAAAACAAGCACAAGACATATACACACACACGTATCCCTCATGCCGCGCCCCCTCAAGGGTCCCAGTTAATGGCATTCAGAATTGTTTCGTGTTCTCTACCGCACTGAGACTGACGTCTTTTCATTGGTCAGCCGTTTAGCGCGGTCGATGCCAACAATGAGAACAATCACACGTACACGGGACAAAAAATGACCTCGCCAGACTAATAGTACGCCGTGAGCCGCCGCCGCATGCTCGCTAACTGGCCGACAGAAAAAACAGGAGTACGTCCCGGCGAGCAATACGGCACGATCTAAGACTACCTCCATTAATAGTAGTAGCTGTAGCAGCGCCCGTCCCAGCGCGCCCAGTCCCATGGTGCGCAACAACAGGGGGTCTGTTGATGTTTTGTTCGGTGCAATACGATACAGCTGTGCGCCCTGGCCTGGTTGTGGGTTGTCTATTCGTCCTCCCTCACGCCATCAACGTCGACAACACCACTCGTTGCGAAAACCACTCTGTTGCGCCGGAGCTTATTCAAATAGCTCTCCCATCCTCATTCATTCTCTTCCGAAGGCCGAAAACGTGCACGATCACCCTCCATTTCCGCCCCTGCCCAGCTTCTATTCATACAGCTTGCAAAAATTGTTGTATTCTGTCCTCGATGACAGAATCTAAAGAACCGCAGCAGAATACACCAGCGGTGGGCACTGGTGGGCCACACCGGTGCTGCTGCTAGTACATGCACGAAGCTTGGCGGACAAAGCGTACGTTTCAAGTCCCAGCGCCATAACGAGTACTGCTACAACAGCTGCCACTTCTGCTGCTGCTGCTGCTGCTGCTGCTGCTGCTGCTGCGTGTCAGCCTTCTTGTGCGTTGAATCACGCTGCGAATTTGGAGTGAATGTATCCGGCACCGTACTCCTCGTACTCGGCGCGAGTGAACCACAGCCCTGGTTTGGGGTTCGGATTCGAATTTCAAGGGCGAAGAAAAAAAATATGAAATCAAAGACGAAAACATAACAAGACATCATTGGTTGCGATGAACGACGAATACTGAGGAACATGACATCTCTTCGAGTGAAACTGAAACGATGGTACTAAAGCGTGAACGGATGAACGCAAGAACACATGCGTGCCCCTCCCTACCCTCACCGTCTAGGGCGCCGGCAGACACAAGCATGGACCCGCCGATCCACACGGTGTTGTTGTGGTCATCTTCAGGGCCCATGACGGTGTACTTCAGGCGAACCCCGTTGGCACTGTCGGATAAAAAATTAAAATAAACGTTGCGTTGTTGTTGTCACTTTGAAACCGTTCCACTTCCGACCCAGCAGAACTTCCACGACACCCCCAGGTGGCAAGAGATGGATAAACGAGCGTTTCGAACCAAATCCGAACGGAAGGAACACGGAATAAACGAACGAATCAAAATAATGACGCGTGAAAATCATACACGTACAACGCAGTTCGACTTGGAAACTACAGGACGGACGGACGGAGGGGGCACTCCTATTGCTGCTCGTCTAAGTCATTCGACCGCTGCCACAGACCACTCTTCGTACGGAGCCCCGTTTCCTCTCCTGTTCACAGATCCAATTCCTTCCAAGAGAAATCAGCAACACTTGAAGTCCCGTGTCTTTCTTTCGCACTTACGCTAGGGAGATTTGGGGTGCCCGAACACCCGAACACACGCCTAAACATATCTATTATTGAGCGTGTGGGTTCTCCTACAAACCCTCCCCAGTTTTTGAAGGGGCGGTGCTGGTTTTCGAAAGGTCAGGGTCTGCGCCAGGGCAGACAGATCCAGGTACGTACCGGGAGGCCTTGGTGAGCTCCCTCTGGAGGCGTCGGTTGAGGCCGGGCATCTCGGTTGTGCCCCCGGTGAGGATGACGGTCTGAGCCAGGATCGGCCAGGTCTTGCGGTCGCAGGACAGGATGGCTGGGCAAAGGGAGAGAGCGGGAGGGACGGAACCGTAAATTCAACAGATGCTGCTGCTGCGGCAGCAGCAATACCAACAACAGGATCATGAACAACAACAACAAACAATACCATCGAAACGGCTGCAGCAGCCGCAACTCAGGGCGGGCAGCAAGCCACACAACCTACTTCAACGCCCCCAAAACAAAACGCCAACCAACACTCCTCACAGTCGAGAACGGTGTTCGGCAAAGACTCTTCCTCCCTCAAGCTCATCGCGGGGTCGAACAGCAGCTCCGCGGCCCTGTAACGCTCCCGCCCGAGTGTGACCCGAGTGCCGTCGGGGAGGGTGTAAGGCTTCGACATGCTCAGCTCTGACGCGTTGTCGACGCCGTTTTCATCGCAGTAAAGTCGCACGTAACCAGTAGTTAGTTATTGGCGGCAGGAAAACACAGCCGAGGACACGAAGAAGCACGTTAGGCCATGTATATGTGGCAACAGCAGAAAAATCGACAGCACGTGCCGTTGCACCAAGATAATGAGCGTGGGCCGTCTGTAAGGACAAGCAAATCTGTTTGGAAGAACCGATGCTGGGAAAGGGGGCGACGTGGAATCAATTGGGCAAACCTCGGGGAGAACGAGTTCGAGAGCCAAACGACCGGGTGTGTGTATGTGTGTGTTTGATGCGATGCTGTTTAGGATCACGAGCTGCCTGGCTAGACAAGGAACTGTGGCAATCCCGCAATGCTGCGTGGCTTGCATCTCTAAACTGAGTGTCTCTATTCCCTGCCTTCCCTGCTTTGTCTCTTGTGTGTGTGATTTGTCGCTGATCATAGACCTGAATGTTTGCCCACCTCTATATCTGTCTCTGTCTCTCTAGCTGCCAACCTCTCTTGCCTCTTCGTCTCTTGTCTGTCTGTTGTCTCCCTTTTGTGTCAAGCCTGTCCGTTGTGTTCTATCTGCCTGTCTCTGACTGCCCCGGCTCCTGCATCTCTTCGCCAATGGCGCGTCTTCTTACCCATCTTAGCGTTGTCCTTGTCAACGTCCTCCGACACGAAGCAGACCTTCGCCTTGAGAGCCTCGAGCTTCATCACGTCGCAAGGGTCATCCGGGTCGAAGTCGTCGCCCCCCAATAATCCCACCTATTGCACAGAGAGAAAATATTGTCGTGTTTCTCTATTCTATGCTCTTGTCATCGTCATCGTTATGGTCGTTGTTCCAAATATCTTGTTATCCTCGCCATCGTTCCTGTGCTGTTTTTTTGGTGTTCTGTAACGTATATGACACAAGATACCACACCCCGTTGGCCGATCTTCAAGGCTCCATTACTCGACGACGACGAGGATGCAGACAATGACCAGTACGTTGCCGGAAAGCTCTCCACGAGATGGATTCAACGACGCCATTTTCGGCGCTGCCACCCGTTCTGCTGTGGACATATCGAGCTTTCAAAATCGCTTGAAGAGGGTGTCGTACCTTGTGTCACCTGCGGTATTCGCATCCAAGAAAGCTCACCTCAACCTCACCTCACCAGCACCCCCCGGTATTCCGAGGACATCCCAAGTGCTGGTACCAGACACACTCGACTGAAACGGCCCACGACTCGACTCGGTCAGCGTGGACACTAAAATCGCCAACTCCGGGACAAGAGACGACGACGACAACGCCTTCCCTTACACCCGATAAGCTATCACGAGCCCCGACAACTTCCCACGACGCCAGTCGGCTGTGGCGCGCCGTGGTATGTCTCAGCATGGTAAGACGTGCGGGGGTGTTTAGACGCCGAGCTGAAACCATTAGACTCGTCAGCCGCTGACTAGCGTAATACTTTGATTCCGCTTTCGAGTCAGCGCTGACTTGTCTAAAGATTTGATTTCGAATATGTACTACGGAAACACCGGCAGCAGCAGCAGCAGCAGCGGCGACGTTTCCCGCGTCGTGTTGTACCTTTGCATTGACCAAGGCCGCGAGGTGCCTGGTGATGTCCTTGCCTCCGAGACCAACCCATCGGATGCCCGTTTCCACCACGAAGCCATCGAAGATGGGAGCTACCTGTCATGGTGTGGATTTTATTGTTCGTGTTACTATAACGGCACGGAAATGCTATGTTGTCAAATGCTGCCGTTCTTATTGCTGCCGTTGGTGGCAATGGTGGTTGGTTGTCGCTGTCGTTCTCATATGCATCACTTTCTTTCAAGGTAATTGTCCTGGATAACTCCAACGGAGATACGGAAAAACAAAAAGGGGAGGGGGGTTCCATTGCAGGACGAACAAGCAGACCGCCGCAAGACGTTTCGCCGAGGGTCCAAGCAATATGTGCCGAACTCGCCTTGTTTGCCCCACCAACAACTGCTTTCCGTGCCAATGACAAGGCCTACAAGGTGACGCGTGACGCACCGCCGCGTCCAACAAGAAAGCTGACGGACACCACGCCAACACTATTTTCTAGCCGCCACCCTAAGGTACGATTATTGATCCCCACGGCGTAATGACAAATCTTGCTGAGCCTGCTACCCACAGGGGCGATGTCGCTGTGTGCTGCTCGGGAAGTCGTAGAATACAGATCGTTTCCGCTGACGCTATGAATTCATCGCCCATTTACTCTCTTCTATGGATAGAGATGAAATCGTTTTGTCATACCAAGAAAAAACAAAAAAATCTCGCCAGCGTGACGTGAACCAATTTATACACTCAACCCTCATCACGCCCACGACCAGGCCACGCTGAAGAACGGGGCCGCGATGGGCTGCAACTCTCATCATGCAAATCAGCTTCTTAAGACGCGGGAATCAATCCTCAACCATTTAGACCACCAACGCAATCGAGGCCCTCACCATGTACCCCCAAAATTTTACCCGCCCTCTCTCTCCACTCCCCGACCAAACAAACTCGCCTGTGTGCCTGATTCTCCGATGTCTACGACCAGGCCGGAAGTTGGTCCGCACGCGTAGAGCGTCAGCACGGGCTGGAGGGCCATGTGTACCGCGGGCGTCGACAGGGTTTCCATGAGCACCTCCGTGGCCTTTTCTCTGTAGGGGGAGGGGTTCGGTGCGTGTTGCACACGGAATATTACGCACGAAACACAAACGAGTCGAGGTTAACAGACAGGCACACAGAAAGCCAACTACACAGAAGAAGAAGAAGAAGAAGAAGAAGGAAACGTCATAACTGAAAAACAAGTCCTCCTCCTACACCTACCGCCTCCCCGATATATTCGGTATCCACCGCTGTGCTGATAAGGAACCGTCAAAACGAAAAAGCACCCCACGAAGTACCGACCGCCTCCCCGGCATCACAACCAACATCTGCAACATACCCCGCCTTTTTCCTCCACTCATGACTGCGAAGACTCCAACTCATCCCCTTCGACCGCTGTGGTTATATCTCGAACGGGTACATCGTCTCTCTGTATGTTCGTATTTACTTGTCCTAGTTCATACCTCGCCGAAGGCTCCGTCGCCGTGGAGTCGGCCATGAGCACGGGGTGTTCCATCGCGTCCAGCTGCATCTCGTCCTCGATGCCGAACCTCCACAGCTCCTCCATGTCGTCCCAGTCCGTCACCACGCCCTCCGACAGGGGGCGCTGCAGCAAGATCGGCCTGGGCATAGGGCCTCTCCTGTCGGGCAGCTGTTAAATTCAGTATTTGGCGTGTGTGTGCGCGCGCGGGGGGGGG